GCGTAGTCCCCACCGGGGCTGTTCCCGGCGGGGCGTTCCTGATGCTGCCGCAGCCGACGTCAGCCGCCGGAGGTTCAAGCCAAGCCCAGTTGTGGGCGATCCCTGCGACGGCGGCCACCGTTTACAGCGTCCCGGGCAGACCGATTTCTAGCTTCGTCTCCGCAGTGCAACCGGGCGTTTGCTTTCCCCACGGGGAAGTTCTAGCCCAGCCGAACTCCTCCGCGTCAAACGGCAGTTTCGGCCCAGATAACAATTCCGGCAAGGAGATGTCCACAATGGCCCCCATTTCCAGTTCTACTAGTCCCACCAGCTCCTCAAACGGCGCCGTAACCACCGCCCAAATGCTCAGAGATTTTTCTCTGCAGATTTACGACAAGAGAGAGCATCAATTCATGGACGCTTCCGGGTCTCCATCGAACGAGCTTACCCAAAGAACGCCTGAAAATCACAACCAAAGATGAGAAATGGCCGTAATCAGTAATGAGCTATAATCTTTTTTTGTTTTGTTTCAATTAGTCATTAGTTTGATATTAGCAATGTCTAATTGTCCATGTTTTCAGTTCATCAAATGGAACTGTATAAAGATTGTTTTTGTATTTTGATTTAGCAGATCATATCAAATGGTGGTTGGATTGAACTTTTGAGATGCTCTGATATTGTCAATTCACTTGATTAATTTTTAACATGCATATATTTCTAAACTAACAATGTCTTAAACTGTTCTCCTATTAAACTAAACAAAACTAAAATGAAATTAACGATAGACATTAAACAAAAATGAATTAAAAATCAAAATTGATACGGGAAAATGATAAAATATGCAAATAAGAAGAATCAATTTGCAAAACTAATGAGATTGACGTGAAGCATTTGACAAGTTCCAGTCAGGAAAAGGGGGCACGTGAGAAAGGATTGAAGGGGGCCCACCAAAGGAGATAGGCGTGGTCCCCAAAGTGAAAGGGTGGGTCAAAGATAAAGTGAAAGGAAAAAAGAAGGGGTCAGCAGCAATCCGTGCGGGGAGCGGTGGGGTCGGTGTGGAAGGAATAGATGTGGTGGTCCGCAGGCGTCGCCGGGTGAGCTGCCAGGGCGGCTTCTCGTGGGCCATCTCGCCGTTTCGCAAATCTATCCATATCATCATTGTCGCCCCTCTCTCATGAGTCATGACCAACACGTAAAACAGTGTTTCCTTTTTTCCTTCACAATTTGTTCTATTTTACCCACTCAAATTTTATATTTCTTCCATCCCAAAATTATCTTCATTATTTCCATTTTGATCCGTACCAAATTTATCTCCTCTTTCTGTTTTTGGCAAAGAATTTGTGGTTCACAATTAGAGGTGGGCAAAAATACTGAAATATCGGTATACCGCACTTACCGCACCAAAAAATACCGGAAAATACTGAAATATTGGTATACCGTCATTTTCGGTACATACCGTACCGATCTATTTCGGTATGGTAACGGTAAATGTTTTCAAATACCGCGGTATACCGGTATAATACCGACTCCCTACTCAACAATTACTTATAATTCTAATATATTGTAGAAATCCATTACAATTTTGAAACTCAAAATTAATACTTAAGTTGGTTACAAATACAAAAATACAAAAATAAAGGCCCAATTTCTCAAATCCACTATAACCTTATAGGCTTCTACTACGCTAACCTTAATGAGTAATGAGTAATGTGCAAATGTCAAAAAACAAGTTCATCTTGTTCCAAGATCTTGCAAGTCGTGATGGCTAGGCCGTTGAGTAGCTGACGTGTGAAGAGAGATACACTTATGTGACAAGTGTATCTACATAGGGATTCCACGAGTCGAGACACACAACTTTGTCCGAAAGTCTTATTCAATTTTTAAAAAAATTATAAAAATGACTAAATACACAATATCATATTAGGAATAAATGATTTTTATATCCATGTTGTTTGAATAGTTTTATTTATTTTTGTTAGAGATCACTACTGATTTAATTATATCTACATTGTTCAAGTTATTTTAGGAGAATGTGTTACTTTTAATATGTGACATGTTGAACTGCTTAAATTTACTAATAATAATAACTATAGTTCAATATTAAATTGACATCAATAGATTATTAATTGTATTTCGTAACATTTTAATAATAGATTTAATATGTCGCTAGTAATAACGATTTAGTATATTTCATTAGTCTATGATAAGTTTTTGTATTGGGAGACATGCACGGTAATTTACCGATACCGTATCGTTACCGAACCGAAATTTCGGTATACTGAAATTTCGGTATACCGAAACTTCGGTAAGGTAAAGGTATGCAAATTTTGCATACCGAAAGTTTTGGTACAGCAAAGGTATGAGAAAAAATATAAGATATACCGTACCGAACCACCCTTATTCACAACCATTCTTAGACATTTATCTTTCCTCTGCACAACTCTGCACTACACATTTTCCATTATCTTAATCCACGTACTCAATCAAAATCGAAGTTAATTCTGGGACAGACGGAGTACTCCGCAGGAGCTTGATTGGTAACACGGCAACACTAATAATCCCATAAAATTAATGAAATTTTGATTAAAGAGATTTCAATTTAAAACACGTTGAGAAAATCATATTTTAAGTCAAAAAACACGTTGATTTCAACGAAACACGTTGGTAGTGTTTGGTAAATAAGTGATTTTGTGTAATTGAAAAAGTAAAAAACACTTTTCTCACAAAAGCCGAGAAACACTTTTTTAAGTAGAAGTTGTCACTTGAAAACACTAATTTTTGTTTTTTAAGCCAAAAGTTGAGAAGTGTTTTTTAAGCAGTTGCAAACACTAAGAACGATGGAGATGACTTTTACAATACCTTAGTCAATTAGGGAGTGACATTAACAATCTCAGAAACACGGAATTGAATACGTGACAAAGAAAAAATATACGGAAAATAGTTTTTTTTATCATAAAAGAGCAACCGTTATATTAAAATCAAAAACACATACAAGATAATTTTTAGACAGAATTTACATATGCAATCGTGAACCTAGAAGTAAATTTAGAGTCAGCCACCTCATACAAAGCAACGTGACTCGCTAAACCTGAAACAAGCAAAGTAGGCCTAAAACGATGAGAACCGAAACTCTGCCTATCAAAAGAACTTCTAAAATCCAAACATTCAAACCAAATCTACTTGCACTAAAACAGAAACAATTGCTACTAAAGAGAAAATAATACTGAAAGAAATTCTTTCCAGAAAGCTCTTCCTGGTGTGGAGGTGATTCCGGAGGAGGATGAGTTCTTACAATATGGGTGAATACCAACTCCACCACCGTCGGAATGGCCGACTAAAGCTTCACGATCCAGCATCAATACAACCTCCCAGCCGCACGCCCGCACCTCATTCATCCGCCAACGATATCTCTTCTGACGTAGTTGCAATCCCAAGCGTTAGAACACTTAAAATCAGTATAATCTGCCGCTCCAACCCCATTTTGATAGGGGCAGCGGAAAATCTCAACTCCTACAAAAAGGGGAGACGGCCGCTAGGGTTCTCTCTAGAGAGAACATAGAGTTTTTGGAGTTCTACTCGTTTTAATTATGAAAAGATAGTTACAATAGTCATCTACACCGGTAATTAAAACAAATGTCACGTGTTTAGTTAAAATTAGTTGTTATGACTAATAAGCTGAAAAATGAAGATTTATCAAATGGGCTCAAAATAAATAAACAACTCGTTCGTGGTGGACACGTCAACCACGGACGTTTGAGAGTACAATGAAAACAATCTCGGTGGCACCTCAGTCGTCGCGTTGGACGCGGTTTGGTGGCAGCAAGCGTCCGACGGTCTAAGCTTTGCGTTGGTCGCGGTTCAGCAGGTTCGGATGGGCGAGCGGAATGAGTCACATGTTTGGCTACCCGGTCTGAGCTTCGACGGGCGGTGCAAAGCTTCCGACGGCCTGCACTGTGCGACGAATCGGCCGGCCGCTGCTGCGCTTAGGTTGTCTGAAATGGTCGTTGTTGCGCGTAACTTCAATTGTTGGAGTGATAGGGTTGAAAATGACGAAGCTGCGCCTAACTTCAATTTTTATTTACAGGCGCTTATGGGCGAGAAGCGCCGCACGCCGATTAATTTTTTTAAAATTTTACGTTTCGAGGCGCTTTACCGAGTAGAAGCGCCGCACGCTTCGTTATTTTTTGTTTATTTTTGACGGAAAAAATATTTGGAGGCGTTTTTCTAATTCGAAGCGCCGCACGTGTAAATTTTCGAATTTTTAATTAATTAAGAGGCGCTTTTTGTATAAAACGCCTCAAGTGAAGCGCCCTTTGATTGACGTTTTTCCACTAGTGAGTTAGTAAATATCCTTCAAGAATTAAAAAGAGGGCTTGGTTTATGTTTAGACAATACATGTAGCCATCTTAATCCAGACATGATTTAATGAAGAAAAAGTAAACAACCCTAAGGGGGTGTTTGGATCTGATTCTCAAAACTGATTCTGCTCCTTCATGGAGCAGAAGCAGAAGCTGGAGTGTTTGGGTGAAATTCCAGAAGCACTTCTGGAGCTCTAACTTACTCTCAGAATCAGTTTTTTAGAAGCTGGGAGGTACCAGCTTCTGAAAACTGATTCTGATTCTGCTTCTGCTTTTAAAAAAGAAGCAGAAGCAGAATCAGTTCCAAACACCCCCTAAGTCTTTAATTGTCACTTCAATATATGGCTGTAGGGTGCGAATATGGTGGTATGTTACTCTCTACAATAATGCTCTTTGTACACACAATTGCACCCACCCTATACACACTATAAAAGCCCCCAAAAAAATTACCCCCACTTTTCCCTCCTCCCCTTTTCCCCTCACCTCACTCGCATAACTCCCTCACTCCCCCCGTTTCTTGAAAATCAAAACACCCGCCCCTCCTCTCTTCTTCCTTCGACGATCATAAGCACAAGCAAAGATAATTTCTGATTTTACTTCCTCCACCATGGATTTTTACATGGACGAGAGCATGGTGAGAAACGACCCTGAGTATTGGGGCTTGTTGAATGCTGTTCCCGGAGGTGGAGAAGCAGGATACGCCGACGGACCTGGAGAACTCGACGGTGACGACATGACTTGCGGAGGCGGGGATGGCTCTGGGCAGAAAGCCGGAGGTGGAGAAGTTGATGGACAGAAAGCCGGACGTGGAGAAGGTGACGTTGAGACGGACCTAGGCGGAGAGGATGAAGGACAGACGTCGCCGGCGGCCATGGACGTCGTTTCTGACCTTGGTAGGACTTCATCTCATGTTTTTAGTAGTTTAATGAAGATTATAACAGCTTTCTTCTCACAGGCATGTTCTTATGTGTTTATGTGTATAATTGTTTGTGTACGTAAATAGTGGTGGATACACAATGTGTCTGTGTACCCCTAAGTTAGTTTCAACTGATGCATATGTTTCTTCAAAAATTATACATCATGTGAAAGTTTAAAATTGTCTGTGCTTACCCCTTAGTAGTATTCAAAGTGTCTATGAAGCTTTAGAATTGTCTGTGTCTGTGCAAATATCACTGTCTGTGTGTACTAAATTGTTTTAAACACATGCAAACGTTCGGTGACACATGCAAGTTGTAGAAGGTGTCACTTGTTTATGTGTGTGTTTGTTTTTGTATGAAATCAGTGGAAGACTGATTTGCTTGTGTAGTATTCAACGGGTATGTTAAAGTTTGGAATTGTCTGTGTGTGCATATATGACTGTCTGTGTGTAAGTTTAAGTGTGTTGAAATGCATCAATAAATGAGCAATTTACCATAACAGATGGAGAAGGGTTGGTAAAGGAGAGTGAACTTGGTACAGAGCCAGAAGTTGGTATGGAGTTTGAAAGCAGAGAAGCGATCTATGAATTTTACAAAGCATATGGGAAGCGTTTGGGATTTCCTATAAGAACTAGGAGCACAACAAAAGACAAAAGAGGAAGAGAGATTGTGTCAGTTGTACTGGAGTGTTCGCGGGCTGGTCATAGAGGTAGTCAGTCAAAAAATCAATTGAAGCCCCAACCTTCAATGCAAATAGGGTGTGGAGCTAGACTACGTGCGCACGTAATTTATTCGGGACTTTGGCAAATTTCAAAAGTGTTTCTACAACATTCACATCCTATGAGTCCAACAAAGGCTAGACTATTTCGGTGCCATAGGAGGATGACGCATGGAATGGCGAGGAAACTTGCAATAAATGAAGTTGCGGGAATACGACTTAATAAAAGCTTCACCGCGGCCGTTGTTGAAGCCGGCGGATATGATCAACTTCCCTTCATTGAAAAAGATTGTAGGAACTATATAGATAAAGTGAGACAACTTAGGCTAGGTAGTGGCGATGCAATTGCCATTCAAGGTTTCTTTGCTAAAATGCAAGACCAATGTCCCGGATTTTTCTTTGTAATTGACTTAGATGAGGAGTCAAGATTGCGTAATGTATTTTGGGCCGATAATAGGTCTAGATATGCGTACAAAGAATTTGGAGATGTCATAACATTTGACACAACCTATCTTACGAATAGGTATGACATGCCTTTTGCACCATTTGTCGGGGTAAATCATCACGGGCAATCATTGCTAATGGGATGTGGATTAGTCTCTAACGAAGATACACAAACCTTTGTGTGGTTGTTTAAAGCATGGCTTGAATGTATGGATGGAATTGCTCCAATGGGGATTATTACCGACCAAGACCGTGCTATGCAAAACGCCATTGCAATTGTATTCCCAAATTCCAACCACCGATGGTGTTTATGGCACATAATGAAAAAGGTACCCGAAAAACTCGGAGGGGATGCACATAAAGATGAAATATTGGATGTTATACATGACTGCATTTATGATTCACAATACACCCAAGAGTTTGAGGAGAAATGGCTTGACATGGTTCAAAGGTATGAATTTGTAATTTTTTATCTTCTTCTGCCAGTAACTATTTCTCTGCCTCATAGACAGGTCTATCTGTCATAGACGATAAAGTTTGTACGTCACAGACACAATGTGTTTGTGGGCAGAGAATAACTTCTTTGTGATTTTTTTTTACAAACTTACTTTGTGCGCTTTAAATGTGTTCAGGTTTGCACTTCAAGAGCATGATTGGCTTCGTGTGATGTACAATGAAAGAAAGCGGTGGGTACCATGTTATTTAAAGCCAACATTTTGGGCCGGCATGTCCACAACTCAACGAAGTGAGAGCATCAACGCATTTTTCGATAAGTTTGTCAATTCCAAAACCACTCTAAAACAATTTGTTGAACAATACGGATGTGCTTTGCGTGATAAGGTGGAAAAAGAATTTCAAGCGGATACTAGCTCATTTACCAAAATGATTCCATGTGTGACTAGATATCCAATGGAAAAACAAGTGCAACAAATTTACACCATTTCTAAGTTCGCGGAGTTTCAAAGGGAATTACTTGAAGGAAAGCTTTATTGTGATATCATTTTATGTGAAGACGGTAGAAAATATACCGTGCAAGAGCATATGGATATTAATGGATTTAGGAAGATTGTGAACTTCCATATTGACTTTGACCCAATTACTTGTGTTGGAATATGTAGTTGTCATTTGTTTGAGTTTAGGGGCATGATATGTAGAAAACCTCAGATTCTTTAATCTATTCTTGAAAGTCACGTGGGTAATGTCAACTTTGTCACCCAAATATTTATGAGCAAGTGCCCCAACTGGTTCATGTTCTTCGGCAGAATCGTGTCCAGAATCATGTCCACCATCCTGTTCAGAATCTTCTTCCGCAGCTGCTTCAAGTTCTGGTTCAGCACCGTGTGGTAATCCACTTATGTAGCAAAAGTCCACATAAGTAAACTTATACAGTGTACCCCCAATGGCAAACCACAGCTCATCATCCGGTTGCTCCTTCACTAGGTGTAAGGCCAGCATGTGCAATATTTGCCCAGAATTGTCTGTCTCTGGGATGTCAATCAGATGCCCCCATGGTAAATCCCTAAACACTTCCCTTTGTCTTTCAGTTAACCTCTTTTTTACCGATTTGGCTGCATTTCTAAAGTCTGAACACACAGAGTACTGCGCGGGGAAATACTCGTCACTCGGAATGTGTAACTTCAGCCGACTGGCAGTTGAACAAACATAAATGTCAAACATAAAATAACACCCCACATGAAACTTATGCCAGCACACACATAACTTATAAACATAGACAAAGGAACTACACTATAATAGACACAATTTCATTCACAGACAATAACTAACACTCCAAATGAACCAGACCACTACACAGCCAACTTATGAACTCCAAATGTACATTATTTGATCCACAGACAATAATTAACAACAAATTTACTTTACACCACCACACAGGCAACTTATAAACATGAAACAACACAATTATACTATATCACAAACACAATTTCATTCACAGACAATAATTAACGCCTAATGAAGATTTCACCACCACACACACACCTTACAGACATCAACAAAGGAAGCATACCATATCATACATAAGTGTTGATTCAGAGACAATACTTCACATATTCACAGTCTATAAACCAGCCCACAGTCAAAAAAATATAACCCTAAAAACAAAAAAAGGTTAGGAAATGATACATACTCCGCCATCTCTGACAGTGGGGTTCGCACCATTGGTGAGCTTCGTCGTCCTAAACAAGTGCGCGACGATGGGGCCTCCTCGCTTGAAACCTCAAATCGCTTGGACAGGGCTTCGATTGAGAAGAGTTACACCAGAAGGGGGGGGAGCGAGCGTCGTTCCGGAGATGGCTGCCGGTTCACACCTCAAACGCAGAGACCTCATGGGGATATGAGTGACAAGTATGGGGGAGAGGAGTTTCGACTCTCAAGGGCGGCGGGTGTTTTGATTTTCAAGAAACGGGGGGAGTGAGGGAGTTATGCGAGTGAGGTGAGGGGAAAAGGGGAGGAAGGAAAAGTGGGGGGTAATTTTTTTGGGGGCTTTTATAGTGTGTATAAGGTGGGTGCAATTGTGTGTACAAAGAGCATTATTGTACTCTCTAAGCTAAGGTAGGAGTATCTTTAAGACATCTGAGGGAGAGAATGTGATTTGAGTGCAATTGGGCAATGGAGTCTACTCCAAGATTTTTAAAAACAGAAACGTTAAGTCATTGAATTGGTATATGCTCTAAATGAATATGACAATAATGAAATTTTCATGAAGTATCTAATATGAATTGGAATTTGACACGCGTACACAACATTTCAACAAGCTAAGAAGAGTTGCAGCATGTAACGATATAATGGATGAAGGTCATTTAATTTAGTTGTAGAAAATTGGATGATACAAAGTTGGTACGTCGATTTTTTGTGTTTTGAAAACCCAAATCAACAAAATAAAATTGAGAGTTCATAAACCAACGACTTTCAAAATTCTTACTCCCTCCGTAACATATATATGTTCTCATTTGAAAAGTAGGTAGATTAAGAATAGTGAAAGAGAATATAAATTATTGAGGGTATGATGGGAAGATAGTGAAATAATGTGATGGAATGAAGGATAAATCCAAAAAAAGTAGGTGTAATAGTGTATTATTTTTAAAATTATTGAAGGTATGATGGGAAGATTTAGAAATGAGAAGATATGAATGTTACATCCAAAAAAAGAAAGTGGGAAGATATGAATGTTACGGAGGGAGTATGTGTTTGCCTAAACCAAAATGGTGAATTCGTTATTCAAAATCAAGTTGATCACATAGTGTATCTTCGAACAAGTAAATTAGTATATTCCTAATTTAAAATAAAGAAAATTACGGATAATGTACTTGTGGTTGAGCCCATTTTTTATTTATCAAAGTAGTTCATGTGTTTGAATTCCGTTATCACAAGAGGGTCACGCCGTTAAAAACTTCTGAAAAAGACCGTTAAAAGTAACTCCGATTTTCAAAAGTGCCCGAAAATACATATATATGCATTAAATTAAAGCTTATTGATTTGGACATATTCTGTGAGTTTACTTGTAGGCCGGTAATAATACATGTGATAAACTATGCATTGAAATACATATATATGCATTAAATTAAAGCTTCTTATGTTATAGGTTTAATGAATAGGGCCTAATATATTGATCATAGTGGTTAAACTCCATCCCACATTAACTGATGATGATTTTTCTGTAGTAGTTGTGTTTGTATACCTATAATGACATAAGATAATCGCAATACCATCTTCTAATTTCTATGTCCTCTTTAAAACATGGTTCCATACTGTGAGTTTTATACAAGTAATGTCTTGAAGGAATGCAATTTTTTAATCTTCTTCTTATTGTGTATCCCAAATATATAAAATGCATCTTTGTCCATAATAATCTGTTTAATCAATTCAGGGGTAACACAGCCTAATGATTGTAGTGGCATGGTCCTCAAGACCTTTTAGCTGATGACTTTGATTGGTCTTAGAATGGTGAAGATGAAAAAGAATACATTGGAAGTCTCAGCAAATTAAAGATCTTTCTAATCCTATAGGGAGAGAGAAAAACATGTGTTAGTTGAGGTTAAAGATGGAAAGATGCCCTCCCACATTTTTTTCTATGTGGTTTCGAGTGTCTCAATAGTCAATATGCATTGTCACTTGTCAGTTTATTGTTATTATATTTGGACAACGCTGCACGAAATTCTGGCAAATGACAAAGATCAAAAACCTCGAAACTAAGTTGAAATGTTGAATCATTTAGAATGGTAGCTTCCTGCATAACCATAACCATAACCCCAAAAGGATTTCGTGCAGAAATACATAATATGGTTAGTCCAGGTTTTCATTATGAAATTATGGTTAGTCCAGGAACCATAATATGGTTAGTCCAGGTTTATAATATGGACTAACCCCAAAACCTCGAAACTAAGTTGAAATGTTGAATCATTTAGAATGGTAGCTTCCTGCATAACCATAACCATAACCCCAAAAACCTGTAATATGAAATACACATCCAGAAATTTCATATTAGCTTCCTGCATAACCATAACCCCAAAAGGAAATACATATATATGAAGTTATAACCATATTTTCATATTTATACACATCCAGAAATTTCATAATGTCTCTGTCTCAAACCAGCCATAATGTCACACTAGAGTAGCATCCTTCAATTCATTTGGACATGTTTTTTTAGTATACTTGCAGATTGCTGAGATTTTTTTTTAGTTCCGACTGATGCATGTGTTAATCATTTCTGGACAACCCATATTTGCAAATATTCATATTTTCTTTTTTGAGGGTAGCAAATATTCATATGTTGTGGCCTGTGGAGCTGATGAGTATGGGTAGATAACTTAACTACTTTTAGTAAAGAAGTAGAACATAATAAGAATAGCTCTTTAGGACTATTTGTTCTTAACAATGCTTCAAAAAAAGCCTTTGCTTATACCACTTTTGATGCTTATTCTTATATCTAGATATACTTCGTATATTATTGGTTTTTTGAAAAATATAAGCATTCATAAGCTATTATCCCCTTGAAAGAAAGGTGCATTTTTGTTCTTAAGAATGCCTTTAATGAGCGCCCCCTAGTTTTCTTATCTGTTTTTTTTTATTACTTTCGGTGTTAGTTTTCCTCGTCTCTTTATTTTTCTGTAACTATCCATTACAGAATCGGTAGTCAATGATGAGGTGTTTTTGAAATTCTTTGTATGATGGTGATTTCAAAATCTTCTTTGCGAACATGTTGACCCCAAATCATAATGAGTTCTGATGCTCATAAATTATATCATGAATTGATTTTTTTTGCGATGATTATTTATCAATAAACATTTTTTATAGAAACATTTTTTGAGCAGTTTTTAATGCTAAAAAAATTATAACATTTTTTGTCAAACGTTTTTATATCATGAATTGATTATTTATTATATCATGATATATATCCATGAATAAATTTTACTTTTTGAGTAAAAAAGAATAGAAATTTGAGTAACCTCAAGCTTTAGCGAAATGCTATTTAGATAGCAGTGTTTATTGATAAACATTTTTATACTTCTAAGTAATGCAAGCAATTATTAGTGTGGAGTAATATAGTGAAATGAATATCCCTATGCTTTAGTAAAATAATGTTTTTGTATCAATTTTTAAATGTCATAATACATATCATGCAGAGGGTACTTATATTCCAAATTCTATTCATTGCATTATTAAAAAAAAGCACAAATAGAACACGCTTGATTTTTTTTTACTGTCATTGCATTATTCAAAATGCACAAATAGAACATCTATTCTCTTGATTTTTTCTTTATTATTTTTAATATTTTAGTGATATAATACGTATGGAAGTTTTGTGCTTCACTTTGTTTGACCTCACTATGGATTTCCAAAAGAATCTCATTTGTTGTTAAGTCTTCATAATTGAACCGTCTCAGAAAAAGACTCTCATGATCAAATGATTAATGAGCGTTATGAAGAGGTAATGAAGCTATATCCTTTCTGCATATAGTATAAGATGTGCTCCTCTGCCCAAATTGAGTAATTCATGTTATATTGATTTGATCTTGATGATTTAGTAAAACTTCTTTGTCATAGGCAGTTTAATAATCATGTTTTTTGTTAGCCGCTATT